TCTTTGGGTAGTATGTATAAAGATACCTATCTAATTCATGAACATGGAATGTATTTTTGTCTTTAGTTTCCTTCAATAGTTTATAGTTTTCAATACAGGACTTTTCAATCTCACTAGTTAAATATTTAGTCTTAAGTGTTTTGTTAGCTATTATAAATAGGATTACTTTAATTTTTTTCTCATACTTTACCCTTGGCAAATGATTGTGTGTGTGTGTGTGTGTGTGTGTGTGTGTGTGTGTGTGTGTTGTGTTGTGTTAGGGAGGGACCTAGGATCTCACATGCAAGGTAAGTACTCTACCAGTGAGGTATAATCCCAGTCTCTAATTTTTGTTAATACGGCTACTGAATTTTATGTTGATTTTGTATCCTGTAGATTTACTAAATTGATTTAATGTTAAAGAACTTTCCTGTCTGTACACAGGAACAATTTGTTCAACCTTTTCCATTCTAGTTTCTACCAATATCTACCTCTCTTCTTACCTCTTTCTTGTAGGTTCACTCTGGCTTGCACAACTTTTTTGATTTTAAACACAGGGTAAAGCTGGGTGTGGTGGCGCCTGCCATTGGTCACAGCACTCAGGAGGCAGAGGTAGGTGGACCTTTGTGAGTTCAAGGCTAGCCTGGTCTACATAGTGAGTTCCAGGACAGCCAGAGCTACAGGGAGACCCCGGCACAAAAAGAAGACAAAAAACAAAAACAAAACACAGGGCAAAAATATCCTTCCTTCATTCCAGGTCTTGCAGGTGTGTCCAGCCACTTGCATGTGGCCAGAAAAGCTATGAATCAAGCAAATAGCAAACTTCCTTAAGCATTGTGAGATTGTAATTCTCTCACGCAGTTCTCGAGCAACTATTCAGAATATACCCAACGTTGTAATTTTTGGAATACTGAATTTTTAAAAATTAAATAAAATAAATTATTGCATTATCTTAGATAACATTAACCTGATGTCTATGTATGTTAGTCTTAAGAGCAGTTAGCGATACTCTCTTCAAAAGTAACCAATACAGTGTCAACTTTGGAGATGCCTATAAGGAAAAGCTTCAACTTCTTCCTGCTTAGTGTTGTTAGTTGTGCTTTTGTCATTTGTGGCTTTCAGCATGTTGAAGGACACTCCTTCTGTAGTCTACTTGCTGGCACTTTATCATGAAGCTTCAATCTTGTGCTTTTTCTACTCCATTGAAGTTAATTTTGGTCCTTCATTGTGCTAATGTGCTATCACATTTGTAGATTTGAATGTTGAATTATGCTTATGTATCCTGAAACCCACTTACGGTGAATGCTCTTGTTAACTTACCTTGGTTGAGCTTGTTTGCTGTTGTTATGGTGAGCATTCCTGCATCTAAGTTGATCAGGGCTTCTTCTAGTTTGCCTTCAATTGCTGTGACAAATCACTCTGACCAATACCAACTTGGGGATGAAAGCATTTATTTGGCTTTCATCTCCCAGGTCACAGTTCATCAGGGAGCCCAAGGTAGGAACTCAAGCCAGGAACCTGGAGGCAGGAGCTGAAGCACAGGCCATAGAGGAATGCTGCTTACTGGCTTGCTCCCCTGGCCCATACTCAGCCTTCTTTCTTATACAATACAGAACCACCTGCCCAGGGGTAGCACTGTCCACAGTGGGCCAGGTCATCCCACATCACTCAAAAATGAAGAAAATACCCCACAAACATGGCCACAGGCCAGTTCAATGGAGGCAATTACCCAATTGGGGCTCCCTCTACCCAGGTGTGTTGACAACTAAAGCTATTCAGTACAGGGCTGCTGGGATGGAGGGCTTTCTGCTTGTTTGATGCTCTGCTCTTGCTTGGTTTGGATATCAGGGTCATGCTACTCAAGTGAAATGATTTGGGAAAAAAATATCAATTTCAATGTTTTGAAGTAGTTTCAAATGAACTGCTATGCTTTAAATGTTTGATAGACTCCAACAGTGAAGCCATCAGATCCTGGGCTTTTTTCTTTTCTTTGATGGAACTTCAAGAGAGTGTGTGTCTATGTATACATGAGTGCAGGTGCCCTTGGTGGCCAGGGGCATTGGGTTTCCAGGAGCTGGAGTTACAGGTGGTTGTGAGCTGCCTGATGTGGGTGCTGGGAACTGAACTTGGGTTCTCTGCTAGAACAGTCTGCTTTTCACTGCTGAGCATCTCTCCAGTTCCTGGTGGGACTTTTATTATGGAGGGGACTTTCTCATTATGGATCTGAACACAAAAATTCATTCATTCATCTATTTGTTTGCTTGTATGTTGAGCCAGTGTCTCAAGAGCCCACACTGTGCAGCAGGGTGTGACCTTGAACTCCTGATCCTCCTGCTGGGAGGATCCACCTAAGTGCTGGGATTACAGGTGTGCATTACTATGCCCAGCTATCTTTTTTTTTTTTTAAAGATATGACATGCAGTTTTAAATTTTTACTTTTATTATTTGTATGTGGAGGGTGCATGGTTGCCACAGCGAACCTCTGGAGGTCAAAGGACAATCTGTGGGAGTTGGTGCTTTCCTTCTGTCTTGTGAGTCTGGGGGATTGAACTCAGTTCATCATGTGTGGTGGCAGGCACCCTTACCTATTGAGCTATCCCACAGGCCCTCATATTTTACATGTACTTTATACACATACTCTGAAGGTGATTTTATACGTACATGTGGTGAACCTGTTTTGCTCGCAGCCTGTCACATTGAAAGCAGGTGTGGTATCTCCACTTGTGTCACATCGGTGACAAAACATTTCAGATTTGGAGGATTTAGGACTTGACATTTTTAGACTGGGGCTACCTGACCTGCACTGCTCTTCAATTTATCTTGTTTGATCTTTACTGCTTCTTTTCTTGGACTAACTTTGGGTTTAATTTGGTTTGGATACAGCGCTAGGATTTTTATTTTATTTTTTTATAAAACAGGCATTTACTGCTACAAATTTCTCTTAAAATGCTTTTATTATATTGAATATATTATGTTCACATTTCTGTTTAAAAATTTTTATTTGTCCTTTTTTCATGAAGTCACTGGTTGTTGGGAAACATGTTTAATTTGCATGTATTTGTAAATTTTCTCTTTATAATCTCTAGTTTTATACTATTACAAGTCAAACAAGATTCCTGGTATATTTTTAGTCTTCTTAAGTTTAAGGCACATGATTTATCCTGGAGGAAATGTTTATATACACTTAGGAGGATGCATATTCTGTTGGAAATATATGTCTTGGTCAACATGTAATTCAAGTCCAGTGAGTTTGTTCTCTTTCTAGGGAGACGAAGTCTCATGTACCCCAGGCTGGCCTTGAACTTGCTATTTAGCTGAGGATGATCTGAATTTTTTTTTAACAGCAATTCTTTAATTATATTTATGTACAGAAAACTCAGTAGTGTACGTTTAACCCAGTTTGGTGGCAAGTTCTTTGGCCTTTTGCCTTTTCTAGCTTGTCAATATGAGCCACAGATTTTGGACCCAGGATGTTGTCTCCCCAGTGATGCTGAAATCTCATCACATCTGTCATTGTAATTGGGCCTGATGGCTTCCACCACCTTGGCCAGAGCACCTTTGTCTTCCCAGGTGACCTGTCGGAAGGCCACAGTAGCGCTCATCTTCCTATGGACCAGCCACCCCAGCCTGGCCTTCCCCTTGATGATGCAGTAGGGGACCCCCATCTTGCAACACAGGGCAGGCAGGAAGACGACTAGCTCGATGGGGTCCATGTCCTGTGTGTGAGACCACCAGCTGAGCCTTCTTGTTCTCCACCAAGGTGGTGATTGTTGACCCCTGCCTGCAGGACAGGGGGTTGCTTGGTGGGGACCGTCCCCTTTGCCAGCAGTCTGTTTCTGCTTTGTCTCTGACCGGCACTTGTGTGCAAGCTTGAGCAGCTGGGTAGCTGTTTGACAGTCCAGGGACTGGGTGACCTGGCTGATCGCAGAGGGCACTTCCAGCTGCTTATAGATGATAGCCCTTTGTCGCTGTAGCCGAATGTATCAGGGCCATTTGACGAAGCGGGTGAGGTCTCTTTTGGGCTGGATGTCCTGAGAAACAAAGGGTGACAGCACAAAGGAGGCTTCACCTCTGTGTCAGGCCGCACCTGAGGGCACTCCGAAGGGCGTTGGTGAATTCTTGTCCTCCTGCCTCTGACCCATGAGTGCTGGGATTTCAGGCGAGCACCACCACACTGGGTTTATGAGCTAGGGGATGTTCATGCTAGGTAAAAACTCCATCAACTGAGCTAGCTCCATAGCTAAGTCCAATGTTTCTTTTGATTTTTCTGATTGTTGTTGAATGTAGAGTTTAGAGGTCTTCTACCATTGTAACATTGGAGTGTCTTTCCCTTCAGATCCTCATGAATTTAGGAGCTGTGTTGTTGGGGAATGTTTGCCTCTGTGGTATACTCTTTACTTAATCCTTTTACCATTATGTAATGTCCCCTTTGCATCTTTTTATAGTTTTTGACCTAACATCTATCTTAAGTATAATTACTCTTTCTAGATTTCTATGTTCATAGAATATCTTTTTGTCATCTCTTCATTTTCAATGTGTCCTTAATGTCAAATGAGTCTCTCACAGACATCATATGGTTAGAATTTGCTTAGCCATTCTTTTAAATGGAAAGCTTAATCTTATAGTCAAGGTTAAGTGCTAACAGGTCACCATCACTTTGGCTACTGTTTTGTTTACTGTTTTCTGATTGCTTTGTTGACCATGCCCTCCTATTACTTTCTGTGTGATTAGGAGATTTTTCTCTAATAGTGTGTTTGGTTCCTTGCTTTTTTATTTTTTATGTATCTGTCACAGGTTCTTTGTGGTTACAGAAAACAGGTTATTTCAGGCTGATAACTTTGATCAAAGAAAATGGTATTTTTACTCTACACTTTCATTTTGTGATATCACAATTTACATCTTTTTATATTGTATACATTCCTGAACTGTCACTTTAAATTTTTTTTATTTTATGTTTACAAATGTTTTGCCTGTAAGTGTACCCAAGCATGCAGTGCCCTCAGAGTCCAGAAGAGGGCAACAGATTTCCTAGAACTGGAGTTTCAGATGGTTTTGAGCTGCTGTGTGGGTGCTGGGAACCAAATCTGAGTCCCCTGCAAGAGCAGGCAGTGCTCTTAACCTCAGAGCATCTGCTCAGCTCCACTTCTGTTTTTAATGCCTATTTTAACTTTACTAAAGAGGAAGTAAAGTTAATGTCTTCATCACAATGTTGGAGCATGCTCCGTTTGACTGTATTCTGTATCAGTGAGTTGTGCTCTCCTTGCCAATTAGCATCCTTTCTTTCAGGTTGAAGGATTCCTTTGAATGTTATTTGTTAAGGCAGGTCTCACAGTAATGACCTCATGTGGTTTGGGAAAGTCTTTGTCCATCTCTGAAGGACAGCTTCGCTGGGTCCGCTGTTCTTGGCAGGTTTTTGGTTTTTTTTTCTTTTCAGAGCTCTGAACGTATCATTCCACTGTGACTGTGTTTCAGGTTTCTGCAGACATCCACTGCCAGGCATGCAATACCTCCCAATGTGATTTGCTTCCTTTTCTCTTGGTGCATCTATGGTTCTGTCTTTGATGAGCTGATACTATGTCCACGGGTAGTCCTACTTGGATCAAATCACTAGAGACCCGTGACCTTCCTGTACCTGGATAGTTTATGTTCCAGCTTGGAAAGTTTCCGGTCTGTAATCTCTACCCTTCTCTTTCCCTCTGCCAGTTTCTCCTACGCTTAACTCTTCTGATGCTCTCCCATGAATCCCCCAAGCGTTCTCATTTGTTTCTCCTGTTTCTAAGACATTCTTCAAGTTGATAAGATTCTTCTGTCAATGCTCTATGGCATTTTTTATTCTGTTCATTGGATTTTCATTTGTAAGTAACTTAAATCTCTTATATTCATCAATGTTTTTCATGAAATTCATTCATTCTTTTTTTTTTTTTTTTTAATTTTGGTCTTTTTGAGACAGGGTCTCTCTGTAGCCCCAGCTGGCTTGGAACTCACTATGTAGACCAGGCTGGCCTTGAACTTAGATATCTGCCTGCCTCTGCCTCCCTAGTGCTAGGATTAAAGGCATGTGCCACCACACCCAGCTCAATGAATTTTTTTTAAATAGCTATTTTGAATTGTCAGGCAGTTCATAGATCTTCATTTCCTTAGAGTCAGTCACTGGCAACTCAGCTTATTTGGTGATACTGTATTTCCCTGGTTCTTTTTATCTGGTATGTATCTAAGTGTATAAGCACTATGTGCATGCAGTGCCTGGTGAGGCCAGAAGGGGGCATCAGATCCCCTGGAATTATAGGTGGTTGTTAGCCATCATGTGGGTGCTGGGAACCGGGTCCTCTGCAGGAGCTCCTAGCTGCTGAGTCATCTGTTCAGCCCCCTGCCTGGTTTTCTTAACCCTGTGGATATGCATACCTGTCTAGGCACTCACTCCAGTCTGGCTTTTCTTAGACTGTCCTTCAGACACTCTTATCAGGCCATCTTCAGGTCTAAGTCAGGGGTCAGTGCAGCACTACCAGGTGCCTTAAGCCCAAGATCATCACAGCTGGTTCACTGTTGGCTAGAATCCTATGGCCTTATGCAGGTACAGTACTAGGGATAGTGTCAGGGCTGGCAAGGGTAGCACAGGCACCAGAAGCCCACAGCAGAGCCCTACCTGCATGGGAGGTCTGCACACGATACAAGGTGTGCAGTCTGGAATGTGACTCTATCTTGTAGGGACCGTGGGTTCCTGTTTGGCAGCAGGGTAGGCATATTTACCTGTCTGGAGTTGGGCCAAGAGGCTGCTGGGTTCTAGTGCCATGGACCCAGTGTTGGTGACCAATGCAAAGTCATCTACTTTTCAGGGCCTCTCTCCACTGTTGTGCTGCCTAGGGTTTGGGGAGGGACGCTGTCCTCACCCTTTCGATACAGTTTTTCTTTTGCTATAACTAGGTATTGCGATTTCTTATCGAGTTTCCTTATCTCTTGTGGAAGTATTTCTCGGTGTGGATAGCTACTCAAGGTGATGTTTCTGACAGCCCCAAACTCCAAATGAGAACATACGGCCCCTTCAAGCCAGATGCAAGTCCCAACCTGCACTGCTGCTGTCTGTATGTAACCCAAGTTGTGACATTCAATCCAGCAGATGTCACCAGCTGCAGTCTTGTTCTGCCATCTTGCTCTGTCCTTGCCCGGGTTGTAAAAGAGAATTAAAAGTCAAATTCTTGTTTATTTATAAAAAAATCCTTTCTCATTAATAATTATGTATATAAAACCAGTTTTGCAGTCTGGCTTTGCTGTAGAATGTTCTTCCAAACATCCTGGTCATTTAAACAGGGTATTATTTGAACATTTTATTTCACAAATTTTTTCATTACTTATGGACAGTAAAGAATAACCTGAAGCCGGGTGTGGTGGCACATGCCTTTAATTCCAGCACTCTGGAGGCAGAGGCAGGCAGATCTCTGTGAGTTCAAGTCCAGCCTGGTCTACATAGTGAGTTCCAGGACATCTGGGGCTACAGGGAGATCCTGTCTAAAAATGACCAAAAAAAAAAAAAAAAAAGAATAACTTGAACCATTGTAACTATTCGTGTTAAACAAATGACCACATACTATCATAAAACTGAAATAGATCACTTATGATTTGCCCCATTCAAGTGCCTTCATAAATTCCTCTTCACTGAAAGACAGCATCCTGGCAGCTTCAATATGCATCTGAGTTTTTTAAAAAACAAAACAAAACAAAAACAAATATTGTCTGATAAATAAGAGTAAACCATAAAACAATAGGAATTTATAAGTTTATGTGGATAATATGCTACCAAAATATAAACTGTTATTTTAACACACATTCTAATTGCAGTAAGTATGATATGTCAAGTGGTTGTTCAAGAACCAAACCTACTGCTAAAAGAATGACTTAAAACAACTGGAAAGAGCCGGGTGTGGTAGCGTAGGCCTTTAATCCCAGCACTCGGGAGGCAGAGGCAGGTCAGGTGGATCTCTGTGAGTTCAAGGCCAGCCTGGTCTCCATTGTGAATCCAGGACAGCTAGGGCTACAGGGAGACCCTGTCTCAAAAAGACCAAAACAAACAAACAAACAAACAAAAACAACTGAAAAGAAAGCAGGAGAGTTGAATGTCTACATTTTTATCACGTTTCAATAAAGGAGCAATACTCTTTGGAATTACTGCTCAATGTTTAAGGTTTGAAAAGGAAAATCATTAAAATAAGTCACTCGTGTGTGGTACTTTCTGTAGCTGGGAAACACCCATATTATATATATATATTTTATCAATCCCATTTTCTACATTATTAATTTATTTACATGAGAATATCTATTTGCTTGGACAACTCACTGCATATTACACAGGTTAGATTTCCCATGTATAGTGAACTTTAGATTAAAAATTAAACAAGAATTCCGAAATGTTTTAGTGGGAAGGTCCAGAGTCTGCCTGATAAAGCCTTTTTGTTACTCACCTTTTGCCTTTTTAAAACATCAATTAGTTTTAATTGCTTCTTGAAACCAATCATTAATTCTCCCTTTTGCTTTTCTAGCTTCCTGTTTTCTGTTTTTAACGCTTCAATTTTTTGATGTTCTTCATTTGCTACATCCTGAAAAAGAAAATCATTAACATTTAACTGAAATACAAAATTTTAGTACATAAAAATGTCTCCATGCTACGAAATAGCAGGTTTTAAACATAGATCTCATTTTTTTTTTTTGGTCTTTTTGAGACAGGGTCTCCCTGTAGCCCCAGCTGTCCTGAACTCACTATGTAGACCAGGCTGGCCTTGAACTCACAGAGATCCACCTACCTCTGCCTCCCGAGTGCTGGGATCAAAGGCGTGTGCCACCACACCTAGCATAGATCTCATTTTTTAAAATATCAAAACATCTAAAAACTCACTTCTAAGAAATCTAAACTTGACACAACTTAAAAAATATATAAATTATCAATGTAGAATCTGGATGTGAGATGATCCTTGAATAAACAAAGGCACATTGGGTAAGAGAGAGCTACATTAAACTAGCTTTTCCTAAGAGCACTTTCCAGTTTATGGGTTTATAGACCTCAAATAAAAGGCAGTCTTACTGGATTGAGGAACAGAACTGGGAAGGTATTGCAAATTTGTATGTGTGAAATTCTGGAAAGAGCCCTCAAAAACTGAACATTTTCCTGAAACTATAGGCAGACACATAATCCACAGCAGAGTCCCAGGAGCTTATAAAAGGCATATTCTAAAGAGCCCAAAGAACTCACCTACCACGAAGACAAGGACAAACATGGGCTCTCTATAAAAACTGGCTGGGTAGGATTTGCCACAAATTGGGCATTGCAGAAGAAGGCTCAGTGAACATTTAAAGATGGTCAGTAGAAGAACATAAGAACTGTACCTCTAATGATGAAGGAAGGCTTTCACAAAAGGAGTGGACAATGCTGGGAGTGATGACACATGGCTGTAATTCCAGCACTCAGAAGGCAGAGACAGGTAAATCTCTGAGATCAAGGCCAGCCTGGGATGGTCTACACAGTGAGACCCTGTCTCAAAAACCAAACAGAGACAAAACAAACAAAAAACACACACACACCACACACACACACACACACACACACACACACACACACACACACTACACACATAAGAGAAAATGAGAGGCAAAAATCAGACAGACAGAAAACAACAAGCAAAATGTCAATAGAAGCCCTTATCAGTCATTAACTGTAAAGGGGTAAACAGCTAAAACAAAATACATAGATTAGAAAAAAAAATGGATTAAAATATAATAGGAGCCAACTATATTATGCCTATAGGTGACTGATATTAGCTCTACAGACATGCACAGGTTAGATGCAAAAGAATATTGTATAGAAATCATAAACAAAAGAAATTAGGAGTGGCTATACCAGACAAAATGGCAAAGGAAGATTACATAATGACAGTTACAGGTGCATCCGACAGAACATAAGGCGAAAGGAGCATATTTAAGGGAGAATTTGCTCTACAATAGTAAAATTTATAGGGTGGCACTTATGAACAGTGCTGCCAGAGAGATCAATTCGGAAATGGGGACCTCAACACCATAGTTGAATCAGAGCTAAGAGACACACAATACTCCTCTTAGCAGTAGCAGAATAGTTTTCTCAAGTTCATCTAGGACATTTTGGTAGACCAAGAGTCTTAAAGAATTTAAGAAGATGAAAACCATGCAAAGTATCTAATAGTAGGGTGAAGTTAGAAATTAAAGATGTACAAACTTAGCAACATACCCTACCAGATGGCTTTCTGTCACTGTAACCAAATAACTGAAGTAATCAACTTAAAAGACAAGAAGGCTTATTTTCACTCAGAGTTTCAGAAGTCTCAGTCTATAATCATTTGGCCATGTTTCTGGGCCTGTGGCAGTCCAGTAATCAAGGTCAGAGCAGATGTCAGAGGAGGACTCTAAAGCTTATGGCAGCTAGGAAGCAAAAAGAGAGAGGAAAGGGAAATTCCCAAGAGTCCCGTCTAGGGTGCACTCCCAGTGACCTAACTTCCTTCCACCATTTCCCAAAGGTTCCACGACCCCCGCAAAAGAGCCAATGACAGGATCGAGCAAGCCTTCAACATAAGCTCTGGGGAACATTCAAGAACCAAAATATAATAATTCAAACTACTAGTGTTTCAAAGAACAGGTCACGGGGGTATCAGAAAGTTCTTCAAACAAATGAAAGCGAAGGTGGTGCACCAAAACGTATGAGAGAGGGGTAATGTGTTAGGTGGGACATTCACAGCTGTGGTATGTTTAAAAAGAATATATAGTAAACATAGTTTCATATATTAAAAGGAACAAAAATAAATATAACATTTTTTAAAAGGAACTAGCAAAGAAACAACTGAACCTGAATTTGAGAACACACCTTAGTGAACCTCAAGAATGAAAGAAAGAAACTAAATCAGAGTTGGTTCCTTACGAATATCAACCTTTAAGTAGACTAATAAAAGATGGGCAAATATGTAAAACTAGAAACCAGAGAGGGGCCATCGCCAACTGATTTTATAGAAATAAAAAGGGTTATAAGATTATTATGAACAACAAACTGTATTACCTAAATGAAATTAATTCCTAGAATCTCAACTTACAAAACTGAAAAATAAAAATTCTAAAGAGACTGGATTAGTAATCAAACTCCCAATGACAAAAAGCATAGAACCAAACAGCTTCAAGAGGTGAGTTCTAGCACATGCTTAAATAATTAACACCAATCCCTCACAAATACCAAAAAGTGAAGAAGACAGAACATTATTGTGTTAGTATTTTATTACTACAACAAACTTCTTGAGGCTGGGTAACTTTGTAAAGAAAAGTAGCTTATTTAGCTCACAGTTCTACAGATTCAAGGGCATGGGTCCAGCAACAATTCAGCTTTGGTGAGGACTTCATGGCACACAACCGTGGCAGGAATGTATGCAAGAGGAGGAGACAGGAGGGTCTCACGACCCCTTCTCAGGGCATACCCAGAAGGGAATACCCTCAGTCAACCTGATGATCTCCCTGTAGGTCCTACACCACTTCCCAACACCACCAAACTTGAGATCCAGCTTCTATTAATAATGCATGAGCCCTTGAGAAACAAGCAATCCACATCCAAACCACAATTTCTAAAGTCATTCGCAAGCAAGCATTAATCATAAACCAAAGTCAAATGAAGACTACAAGAAAACCTCAGATCCATATAATTGATGAAATTTAAGGCTAAAATCCTTTAAAAATTATAGGCAACCCAATTCAACAGCACATCATGAGATGCAGTACCCTGATGCACGGCCTAGAGCACCCAGGTGAACACCTTCTTGTCGCCTCACGTTCCTGGAGCGCCTCAGCCACTGCTTTCACACCTGCGCTTGCCTTTCATTCCTGGTTTTGTTTTTTAACCACACAGCCATTTTTGCACACTACCTCATTTGTCCAGCAGCTTCTCCCTTGGCACCTAATTTCTACAGATGATTTCAACCTTACTCTAGAATTCTATTTAGAAAACAAACACCTTTGTTCGACTACCCACTCAGAATATCACATTCCCTCCACAGCCTCTGCCTGATGGACTAACTCAAGGAGATGATTAGTTTTGTTGACTGATTACTTAAGCACCCATCTACGTTATATAAGTGCAAGGACCGCATTTGATTCTTATCTTCAATGCACAGCTTCCTAAAAAAGTCTGGGTGGTAAAATATCAAACAGGCCCTCAAAAATATTGCTGAATGAATTCATGAAGAATTAGAAATGATCTGTTCCTAAATGGAGGAACACGGGACTTTGGCTCCATATTTTTAACATTTCAAGCGCACATCTAATCAGAAGTTTCTAAGTAGTTCCAATGAAATCCCTCCTTTTATCAGTCTTTCCTCCAGTGGGTTTCAAAGACAATTGACTGTGCCAGGCACTGAGGACACAATAGTAAATTAGGCATTTGAGATAGTTAAGATAAGGGGGAGAAAGTAGAGATGGAGGGAAGGAGGAAGGGGAGGGAGGGAGGAGGAGGAGGGTGAAGAGTCGGGGGGAGAAGGAGGAAGAGTTGGAGACTGGGAAGATGGGTCATTGGATAATCGTGAGATGAGTTTGGATCCCCAGCACCCATGTAAAGGCTGTGCCCACCTGTAATCCTGGAGCAAGCCAGATGGCCAGACTAATGGAACCAGATACTTCTGGGTTCAGTGAGAGATCCTGCCTCAATGAGTAAGGTGGAGAGTGATCGAGAAAGACCCCCGAATCTAATGATAACCTCTGTCCTCCACATATATATGCACAAATATGGCCCCCCAGAGATTCTGTTCTCTTACAGCACTTGGTTTAAGCTGACTGACTTTGTTTCAAAAGTCACCCTTACTTTAAAGCCAGATTTCTTGTTTCCTAACCTCTGGAGAGTAAGTTCGCATGATTTTAAAAATTAGGTCTTTACCTATCAGATGACTGTCAGTAATCTTGTTCTCTTTTATGGAGCCCTATTTCTGCTTATTTTTCTGTTTGTTTTTTGAGACAAGGTCTCACTATGTATCCCTGGCTGGCCTGGAACTTGCTATGTTGACCAGGCTGACCTCAAACTCACAGAGATCCAACCTGCCTCTGCCTCTGTCTCTTGAGTGCTGGGATTAAAGATGTGTACCACTACACCCTGTCCCTGTCCCATTTTTCAAACATATAGACCCAGAACATTTTAACTGCTTACCTAACTATATGTCTAAGTGTATGAGAAGCAAGATACATAGGATTAAATGGAAAAATACCTACTCACAGAAGAAACTTACAAATTAGACTCTAAGAAACAACTACTGAACAGCCTAGAGACATCCCTCAAAGACAGATCTTAAAAATATACAAATAAGTAAAAATTCACAAATACGAGACAATAAGTAAAAATTCACAAATATGAGACACACACATAGTTTTTTCCTTTTCTGTTTGTGGTTTTGTGAGATGAGGTCTCACTATGCAGCCCAGGCTGGCCTGGAACCCAAGGCAATCACCCTACATCAGCCTTCAAGTCCTGTGATGAGAGATGTGACCAGTACACCTAGCTAGCACAGCTTTGTGAAAACCTAAAATAAGTTAAACTAATCACACTGGAACACGCCTAAGTTGTTTTTGTAGTGTTGACGGTTTACACAGAGTTGGTCACATACCAAGTCTTCATTACTTGAATTTTCAAGATGGATGTAGAAAATGAGAGTCATTTGCTGCCATGGAAACCAGTTTTTCTTCCTATTTTCCTAATGTGTGTGCTAATTCAGAGATCAGATCAACAATCAGAATTAGCACATCCCGATAGTTACTCTTTCTTTTAAGGCTTTTTATAATGCACTAAATTGGAAATAATCATCTAGCAGCATGCTAATTATTGGTAAGTGTGTGAAGATGACCTATTTTCAGTTACACCATCACTGATGGCCTCTGAGCATTGGAAACAGCTGGTCCTATGGCATGAGCTGCCTCAGACTGAATCGTTAAAACTTCCATCAGGATACCATGTACTTGCTTCTACTAAGTGATGGAGGACAAATCAAGGTCACCATATCTATTCTGTGTTACTAATAAAATCCAAAATGTACTGCCTATGAAATGAAGGTGGTGCCTAAGTTATTGTTAACTGGCAATATTGTCATAAGGGGATAAAGTCCAACGAATATCTACTTTTGCCACCAGGCTGATACAGAATTAAAAACTAATAGCTAAACTGACACAGCATTCAAAAGCTCTCCCACCAGTATCCATCTCCACTTACGCAGCAGATGCTCAAGACACAGAATGTTAATACCACATAAAAGGTCCAAGAGAACCGGGCATGGTGGCACACACCTTTAATCCCAGCACTTGAGAGGCAGAGGCTGGTGGACCTCCATAAGTTCAAGGCCAGCCTGGTCTACATAGTGAGTTCCAGGACAGCCGGGGCTACAGGGAGACCCTGTCTGAAAAAGACCAAAAAAAGGTCCAAGGGAATCGACTCCACACAGAGCTGTCCTCTGACCCGCTCTGACCCACACGTACACACGGTGGCATGCATGCCCACGCACACACATCAGGTACACACGAAAAACAGACTGTTGTTTCTGATGCTTACTCAGAGGATGTTCCCATGGGGGCGCACACCAGAGCTGGCCAGCCTGCATACCTTGTTGTTTTGCCGCAGCTTGCTCAGCTCGGTTTTATGCTTCTCCACTTCCTCCAGAGCGCGGTTCAAGCGGACCTCTATGGCACTCTGATTTGTGGCAGCCTGCTTTTGTAGTCTTTGTTTATTTTCTAATTCCTATGTAGTTAAAAAATATGAATATTATAATACCATGTGCTTCCATTTTTATAACACTTTCCCATTCCTTGCTTTCTCTCAAAATTTACACATACAGAGCTAGAGGCCAAGTGCCAAGTAATGGGATTCTCAGGGAAGTCTTGCCCCGAACTGGTATTAGAAGAAAAACATCCTTAAAAAAATGTAGCCATGCCAGGCGTGGTGGCGCACGCCTTTAGTCCCAGCACTCGGGAGGCAGAGGCAGGTGGATCTCTGTGAGTTCAAGGCCAGCCTGGTCTACATAGCGAGTTCCAGGACAGCTGGAGCTACAGGGAGACCCTGTCTCAAAAAAGACCCAAAAAAAAAAATGTAGCCATAAACACTGTTCTGTTTAGAGTTTTCTGTCTCTTTCTACTGACTTAAGACACTGTATACTTAGCTTACATATTTACGATCAACTTTTATACTTTTCTCAGAGACAGAATCTTGCTGGATGTGTAGTCCAAGCTGGCTGGAAATCACCATCATTCTGTCTCTGCCTCCTGAGTGATGTGACTGAGACATATGCCACTGAGTCCAGCTCACTGAAGTTCTTATTTAGACCCTCCCAAAAGACTGATGTCAGACACAGTCTCTCACAAATAGTGCTTTTGTGGAGAGCTGACAAAAGGTATCATGTGAGGAAACAATGATCACATCATATCCTGGGGGAGGACTGGATTTATATTTGTGCAAATATTCTAGGATATTTTGTGGCTGCAAGTGGACAGTCAACACTTGAGGAACCAAGAACCTGTCTGTCTGATAAACTGAGAACTCCATGATACCACCCCCCCACCCCCACCCCCCGCCAATCTATCAGTAAGAGCAGGGCTTGGATCTCTCCCGGAGAGTTTTCTGCTTCCAAGCCTTTGTTCATGTGCTTCCCGCCCTGATCCCTTCCAGTTTCCACTCTTCCTAACTAGTGCCTACTCATTTCAAGACTCTTAACTGGGTGTTCACTAGGGCTTAGCTCCTTCAGGACTGTTCTCTGTTCCTCACTATCCTCCCAGCACAGATTAGGTACCTTTCCCTCAAATCTTCTAGAACATCTAAGACAGGTTTAGCACGTCCCCTGCTGCACAGTACTGGAACCGCTCGCTCACTGCTTTGTTTCTCCCACTGCGCTGTAACCTTTTCTTAAAGATGTGGTTTTTATTGTGTGTGGTGTGTGTGTGTGTGTGCATACGCATGCTATGTGTATGCAGGTACCTGTGCAGGCCAGAAGAGTGTGTTGGATCCCCCAGAGCTGGAATTACAGATAGCTCTGAGTCATCTCTCCAGCCCCTATAATGTAAACTTTCTACGGCTATCAACTGTCTGAGTTTCTGCATTTCCAGCATTTCAGGGGCATGTAAAAGACACTAACCATATCTTTATTAAATTCTATTTATTTTGTAATATCAAACACACCTTCTTTGTGTCCCATACAACGTAAGGCCTGGCTGATTCAGAGCCTTAACAAAGCAGGTACTCAATAACGATTGTAGAACTGGAATACACTTTAAAATATGGTTGCATGGGGCTGGAGAGATGGCTCAGCGGTTAAGAACACTGGTTGTTCTTGCAGAAGACCCGGGTTCGAATCCCAGCACCCACATGGCAGCTAACAGCTGTCCTTCCAGTTCCAGGGGCTCCAACAGCCTCTTCTGACCTCCACGGGCATTGCACAACACGGGTGCGCTTACCTATATGCAGGCAATACACATATATATAAAATAAAAATAGTAAATAAAAAATTAAAAATATGGCTGCCTGTATTCCTTTTGAACATCTTTTTCTCTTGGCTGTATCACATCATCTTTGAATACTCATCTCTGTGGCTTTCAGTAATTAACGGAAAAACAAAACAAAACACATGCTGCTCTTTATGCGGGTTTCTAAACAAATCAAGCTGTGCGTGGTTACCATCTGTTGTCACAGCCTTCTTCAGTGTTGTGGGCGGCAGCTACACCAAGAGTATCTCACTGTTCACATGGGAAAGACTTACTAGTTCAAAGCCCACAGTGCTCACGCCTCACACCAGCCTCTCCTAAGAATAAAGAAACAAACCTTCTCTTTTGCTGGTGACTTTGTAACATTCTTCACAGAAAATTGAAAAGTACTATTCCACACACAGTACCGCTATCCTTAAATCAATACTGCCTCCTTCTTGGGACCATGAAAAAGACAACAGACAGCCAGGAGAAAGAACAGCAAAGGAACATATGAAGGTTTTCTACGTGAGCAAATCCACTAGAGAAAGGGAAAAACCAGTCAAAAACTTGAAAACATGTCTGTTTGTAATCACACACTGGGAACATTTACAGCATGTAGACAGGGCAGTGCTGCATCCTGAAAAAGTCAGATAAATGTACTGACACCCCCTCAAAAAAACTTCATATATTCCCAGACAAAACTTTTGTGGAAAATAAGTCCTAAATCTTACATTAGTTTTGAAAGAAAAAAGCTAAATTGTGTAAAGAAAATCCAGAAGTGTGTAGCCAGGTATACTGGCTCAGGCCTATAATCTAAGCCTGTAGGAAGCTGGGCCAGGAGGGTAGCTGCAGTCCAAAGACCAGTCTGGGCTACAGACTAGAACTGTTTCCCAAAACAAAACCAAACAACAAAAATAAAAATATAGGGGTTGGAGAGACAGCTCAGTTGTTAGGAACACTGACTGCTGTTGCAGAGGACCTGGGTTCAATTCCCAGTACCTATATGGCAGCTAACAACTATTCCTAACTCCAGTTCAAGGGAATCCAATGTCTTCTTGTGGCCTCTGAGGGCACTGTATTCATACTTATATACATGCAGGCAAAACACTCATACACATAAAAGAAAAATAAAATTTAAAAATCATTATGTTAAATAAAAGAAGTCAATCACAAAGGACCACATATTATTTGAGGCTATATATAAGAAAATTTTCTGAAAATATCTACTGAGATGGAAAACAGATTTGTGGTTACCCAGGTCTTGACTGGACTGAGAATGGAGATTTGGGATGTGGAGACAAAGGGGTTCAAAGCATCTTCCTGAGGCTATGATGTTCTTGCACGAGTCTATGGATATCCTGAAAGCCACCATACTGCATAGTTTACAAGGAGATGAAATGTGTGAATTGTATCTCAATAGTTGTTAAATTTTCTGTCTCTGAGGGGTTTTCAGGGTGTGCTAGTAATTGAAAAACCAAAAGTGGTGTGAACACAGACGTGCAGCTTGGTCTTGTCTCTGTCGTGGCCCTGGGTCAGGAGACTGCTGAGATATTTACCCTTTCTACTGTCGACAACTGCTGCTGCAGTCTGTCGCATTTCTTGTTTGCTTCTTCAAAAAGATTCTTATATTTTTCTAGTTGGGACTGTTGCATTGTAATTGTTCGCTGTTGTCGCGCACAATCTTCTTCAAAATTTTTCACTTGAGACTTTAAATCCTGAATTTCATCTTCCTATAATTAATGAAAATATCAATTATGTGAAAAACACACAGGATTTGGTATCGAAACAGCAGAAACAACAGAGCTCAGGTGGTCCTTAACTAAACATCTATACCCAGGTAAGAGAAGAAGGTTCATTCCATATTCATCATCAGAAATGGAGGTCAGCTACTTTGTATTTTAATAGTCTACCTGGTAAGTCTAAGATAGGGAACACTGATTTCAGTAAGTTTTATAAATTCTCAAGCTTTGTGATAATGCAGTATCACAAAATAAAGAGATATATATATAAGCTCTTCATATATCAATTCTGAATTCAACATTTAATTGTGGATTATATCTAAATATGACTAACCAAAATATAATTTAAACTGCCGCTTGCCATATCCAGTAGAAGAGTCTTCTGAGAGGCCATCCATACTTACCTTCTTACTGCATTCGCACACAACATTATCCAGTTCCTCCTGCATCACGTGGAGTTTGGCCTTTAGAAATCTGATCTGTGCCTCTGTGGATTCAAATGATTACATCTGATTACTTAGCTTTTTACTGAAGCTAAGTCATAATCAATTGGGAGACACACCCTATTTTTATGAGGAAAAACCGCTCAAATAGGCAGTCTAATGGGAGACCCTACCTATTAGGGAGCACTGCAAACATCAAATGCTCCCACTGTTAGGTAACAGAAAATAACAGAAACAGTGTTTGCATCTCACTATGGGGAGTGAGGAGAGACAGAGGGACAGGGACAGAAGCCCCTAAGAACCTGACCTACAAACTGGGCTCCTGTAAGTTACAGACTGAATTCACACCTACCACAGTGGTCCAGATATATCCTCCAGAATTTACAGTGGTCTGGGACTGGCCATGTCCAAGAGTTTGACAGAAACAAATTCTCTCAAGCAAAACGTAGATTTGGGCCTGACAGTCTGCACTCCCAAACTGCATCTAACTCTTTCCATCCCATGCATAGCGCTGCCCCCATCCCAAATTAGCATCTAAAGTAAGGGATGAAAGTTCTCCACAGACAGACGGACGGCCAAGCCCAGAACACCAAAGAGGGAAGATGCTGAGGAGGCGCAGTAGGAAAGAGGAGCACTTAAGGAAAAGCCTCTTGTCCTGGTGCTCTGCATCTGAAGGGCTGTGAGTGACTGCAGAAACACACATCCACACCACGCTTCCTGGAAGTCGACTTAAGAGTGACAACTGACTTCCTGCTTTGCTTATGTCCTCCTTCCACTACTCCCAAAAGGCTTGATTAGGTCAATAAATGCTTAAATGCACAAATTATTTCCCATGATCTCTTACTAGGGTATAGACCAAGCATCGGTACATAGATAACCTGTTAGGATTTTCCAGAGAATCAGAGGATGTTAAAGATAGATTAGACGAATAAATAAATAAACATCACCTAACAAACTGCTAAATTCCCAAATGAAGAAATTATCATCACAGAGGGGCTAAATGGCCAGCTGGAGGTCACAGCTAACCCTAACCATACTGCACACTGCACTAATTACTACACAGCCAAACTCAGTTAACAATCCACCATGAATTAAAGTTCCCAGGAAAAACCCTGCATCTTGGACTTAAATTCCTGCAAGGCTGACCAACTGATTAGCACTTCAGTGGCTGTGGAGAGTTTAGAATGCTGCAGATCCAATGCCTATTTACAGTTTATCTTGGGCCATCTTTAGCTCCTTGCCTACCCCTGTTTCTGACTTAACAACTTAACAACTGATAAAAAACTTTTAGGACTGTATTAACAAAGCCCAATGCCACAGATAGCATCTGAGCCTATAGCTGAGATTTCTCTTTTGCTGTATCCGCCTACTTACCATTTCCAACAATGCATTGAAAAGTGTCTTGATTTATTAATTTTTTTTGTTCTATTGCTATAAAAACTTCATGAAATTGCTTCCATGTTGGAACATAGAATTTGGGGTGACTTGAATCTGTGTTCCCTGGCCATGATCACTCATATTTGGCCCCAGGATAAACTATCTCTTATCTCCTTTGAGGCAAGAGCTGTGCTTTCTGTCAGTACCAATACACGCACATTCTCGATTGTCCGCTTTTCTGTTTCAATGGACAGGGGGCTCCTTGTAAATTTGGTAATTTTAGAGGCATTGCTGATAACTAATACAACTTTTAGATGAGCAAAACTAAGTACTTTTTTCTAATACTTCCAAAGGATGAGTTAATGAGAAAGAAAAAGTATATTCATTAAAAAACTCATTTGATCACTGTACCTGATGTTACAATTCATTTGTCCTTTTCCATATATTGATTTAATGCACACTAAACACAATATAATAAAAATAAATGAATTCAGAGAAACTTTATTTCAATAACAAGCTATGGGACATTTTAATGTCAGTTGAAAAGTTTAGTAAACTCAAACAATACTATCATCTTCAAGTTTTACTTTTTATAATACAAAATATCAAACAGATAAAAGTAGAGACAAATTCAGTGAACTCACAACTGCTGCCATGTTCAACAACTGATAGCCAATTTATTCAATCTATAATCCATTCATTCTTTCTATCACTACATCCTACTACATTATTCTGATACATATCCAAATACATAATGAATTTTTAAAGTTCCCAAAAATCTCTTTTCCTAGGCGACTGCAATGTAAAGAGAACAGCTACAAACAGAAGGAAACCTACCTGTTCCGATATCTTTACTAACGCCAGAGAAAATGTCATCGTCTATGTACTCTGGTAGCCCGTTCTCCTCCAGCTGCCCTTCAATTTTGCTAATTGTCTTTGTGAGAGAAAAGTCTGAGAAATCATCTGGAATGGCTACATCACTGGCCATCTGTACTTCGGGGTATTTCAGTTTAATGCTAAAAAGTAAAATACACATACATGCATAAACAGAAACAGACTGCTAGAAAGGACATGAGCTTTGCTCAAATAACACTGCAGACAAAACATATTATTTATTTATTTATATAT